TAACGACCTGATCACAAACCAACCTTTCGTCAGCCTCCATCATTTTATCGTCCTGTCTCCCTTCCTCCTCCACTTCAACTACCCCAGTCCTTGTCCTAATCTTCATCCTCTTTCTGTTCGTCTAACTCTCCATCTTTTTTTACCTTCTGAAGTAGGCAAAAACAGCAGGATTTATTGGCACCAAAAAATTTCGCGACTGCTCTTCAGCTGCTTCCTGTCACTTCATAAGAGGGATAACGAGTGAGAACAATACAACAGATTTGAATTCATGCAGAAAATCGATGCAGAAACAGCAAGGTTAGGGTTTTGGGCAAAGTTGGCTAATCGATAAAGTTAATAACACAAACGCCGTAGGGGAAGAAAGTGAAAAAGAAGGAAACGTTAAAGAGCAAAAAATGAGAGGAGAGAGGGGGAATCATGGAGCCAGAGGCTACCATGGTAATGTTAGGTTAACAACGTGCTCCAATTGTTTACAAAGTTCTGGTTTCACTCGTCGTATATAGGCTGCCTCCAGGTAACGCAATGTCCGAGTTGTTCGTGCCCGAACAAGTACTCGGAAGGAAGTTTTGGGGTTGACGGTGTGACCAGTATCAAGTAGGTGTTTCGTAATGGATGAACGTGGGATCTTATTTTCTTGTCTAAGGAGCCACTTGGGCAGGTGCTCAATGGATCTGGCTGCCAACTGCCTTTGCGTTCGCCCAATGTACTTGCATCCGCAAGTGCATGTGAATTCATAAACACAATTTGACGTGGCGTGCATTGGCAGGGCATCCTTTGCCCGTGGAATCGGAAGTGGCTTAGTAGGACTGCAGAATACTAGTACGGCTGCATTGTATGTCCTTTCAATGGCAGAACGTAGCCGTCGTTTGATAGTATTTAAAATATTGTCGCCCTTAAAGGGCAAAGATATAAAGACGGGCTTTTTCGGAGCTGAATGCTCTGTCAGTTTAGGCCGTGTAGAGTTGCTGTATTTGTGGATGAACCGTGCGGGATATCCACGCTTAAGTAGAGCTTCTTTGAGACGTGCAAGTTCTGCATCCAGTGTGTCATTGGAGCAAATGTTTCTAGCCCTTTGGAAAAGAGCGTATACCAAGTTACGTTTCCATTGGATAGGTACAAAACTCAAAAAATGCAAGTAATGTCCCCTCCAAGTATTCTTATGGAAGACAGAACGTCTTATAGAACCATCTTCCATTCTAAACATAATAACATCCAGAAAGGATAGCTGGTTGTCTTGTTCCTTCTCCATTGTAAATTTGATCTTTGGATGCAGCTTATTCATAATAGAAAGTAGTTCTTCAGCCTCATTAATGTCTTTAACAATAGCGAAAACATCATCCACGTATCTTTTGTAGAATGGCAGCTTATTTAATTTGGTAGACACTTTTTCTTCTAGATAACCCATAAAGATGTCAGCAAAGGTAGGGCCAAGGGGACTCCCCATGGCCACTCCGTCAATTTGTCTATATAATTGGCTATTAAAGAGAAATTGAACGTTCTTTGTACACAATTTTAGTGCGTCTCGTAGTGTTTCGGGTGGCAGACGAGTTTCTGATGCATGGGCGCATATTATGTCTATTGTCTCATCTAGAGGTACGTTAGTGAAAAGAGATTCTACATCCAGGGATATCATGTATTTGCCAGAAATGTCTTGATTTTTGATTTCTTCAATGAAGTGGAAGCTGTCTTTTAGCGTGTAAGTAGAAAAACGTCGTCGTATTGGCTCTAATTCCTTGACTAGCCACTGTGCTAGTTTGTGAAAAGGGGAATTATACATAGATAAAATTGGTCGTAGGGGTATATCCCTTTTATGCGTTTTTGGTAATCCACAAAGTCTGGGAGTATATGAACCCCTAGGTTTTAGGCAAAACGCTGTTTTGGAGTCTAACAGATTGTTGTCTAGCAACTTTTTAATTTTCTTCCAGGCGGAATCCTCCAATGCCTTGGTTTCTTCCTATCCCGACGTTTCTAAACGAAATTTACTCTGATCACGTAAAATAGCCTCCATTTTTGTCACGTAGTCACTGCGATTTAGAATGACAACCCCATGCCCCTTGTCAGGTTTCGAAATTATTATTTGCTTATGATGCTTTAAAGCGGACAAAGCAGTCATGTGTTCTTTAGTTATAGGTGTACGTTGTGTTATTGGAGCTCTGCGGTACTGGTGCGAAATATCAACAAATTTTGCTTTCAGCCAACTCACGTCGTCAGAAGATCTAGGTATTAACTCAGATAATTGAGAATTCAAGTCCTCAAATTGCGCTTCAATTTCAACAGGATTAATCCTTTTGTTAGGAACACAGAAATCAAGTCCTAACGACAGAGCCTCTGTTTGCAGTTTAGTAAGTTTAATGTCAGACAGATTATAAATAAGGTCTTTTGCGTTCAATGGAAATATATCCTCAGTAGGTTTCTTGCTAATTGACTTCAATAGCTTAAGGCGAATTGATTCCCTAGTCCTGCTGTTCTTGCCTACTTCAGCTTCGTACCGGGGACAAATTGCTTCAAATTTTTCACCTTCCTTTACTTCTGTGAACCCTTTAACTCTTTATCCTTCTCCAGCTTGTACTCATTTGTACCGACCTCAACCATGTCCTTATTTTCCAGTACCTTCTACTTCTTCAGCTCCACCACCTTGAATAACTTGACAAAATCAATTTCCCCACCCCCGCTTCTCTTCCTTATCATTTCTCTCCTTGTTCCGTATCTCCACTTAAGTCATCATGAATGTGTGACGCCTATCTATTTTGCGCACGACCATCTGTCCAATATAGGCGGTAACGTATTCTTAAGGAAAAAGACGCGATCTCTTGGACAAGAGCTTTTTTGCCTGACGTTTTGGATTCCTGCTCAAACCCAGCATCAGAGTCAAAAGCAGGTACTGGTGGTTTATTCACAAGAGGCTGCAGTCGCCATGCTATCGCATACACCTGAACACTCACATCTCCCCCCTTCATTCAGGATCGTTGCACTTCGTGTGCGACGGTGTGGTCGGTCGCCTACGAGGGGTACATTAAGGGCTAATTTGGAAGCATTTTATTTTTCATTCGACATATGTAGAGGGTAACTATCAGAAAATTGGATTATACGCAAGACGGTTAGGAGGCATGTGACTACTTCGCAGTATGAGGCACAGTCGAGTGTCTTTTCTTAATTGAATTTGCGATGCCGCAACGCATTAGATCACCCGTGTGCGGACGTATTAGCTCCCCCCTGCAGTCGTAAATTAGATGGCAGTCAATTCACACAAGTGTTCCTCAGTAAGAGTGGTGTTTTCAGCAGGAATTATGCAGCCCTCCAAAACAAAACCGCCCAGAAGATCTACGTCCCATATTTAATCAGTTAAGGTTGAAGCATGGCGAGTCGGCGAGACTTCAAATCATTGCGTGTCTTTGTATGCTCCGGCTTTTTTTCGCATTAGACGCACACCTTAAGGCCGTGTGATGGAGGCCTGATTCGAGCAAACTCCATTTGCGACCACATCAGGGACTTTGTCGGTCACGAAACTCCTTCTCCTCGACCCCAGATTCCCTCACGTCTTCCGCATTTTACAATTCCTCCTTTGCATCCCTTCGTTCTCTACTTGATCACAAGCCAGACTTTAGTCCGCCTCCGTCATTTCTCATCCCATCTCCGCTTGTCTAGTTCCTCCTCCTCCTACTCCTCCTGCTCCCCTTCGTCTTCCCCCTCCCCTCCAGCTACCAGAATCTTGGTCCCAGTCCTCATCCTTTTCCTGTTACCCTAAATATCCACCCTTCTCCAACTTCGCATTCTCCAATGAGGCCATCACGTCTTTTTCTTTCTCCAACTCATGCTCCGGCTCCTTCTGTCTCTTCAATTTCACTATTTTATATCTGTTATGACCCTCCTGGTACTTGAAGTACCTTGGACCGTATACGCACTCGACCCATGTCCCCGATAACAACGTGACAGAGAAGGAGAATGCGACCGGCCACAAAAATGTGTATTAGGAAATTGCAAGTCAAAATTAACTGGAAGTAGCGCATATTTATACGCCCTACTGTGCTTCGCTGGCATTCGTCCCAATGCCATTTGGGAAGAACATTCCAGGCAAGCCAGTCGATAATTCAAGTATGCAGATCGATCAGGCCTGAGAGGAAAAGCCAATGGGGGGGCGCCACGATTAAGATGGCAGCGCAGTAGAGCAAACGCACGTGACCTCCTAGGATTGGCTGGGTCTTGTTTTTGGGAGTGTAGGCACTCACTTGCATCGACCTCAACCATGTCTTCAGTTTCCGTCTCCTTCTGACACTTCTGCTCTGCTATCTTATATCACTAGACGAGATCCATTCACTACTCCTGCTCCTCTTCGCCCTATTCCTCTTTTAATTCCCCGTCTCTGTTGCCATTTCCATGAATGGTGACGCCTTTTGATTATGAGCACGACCATCTGGCCATTATAAGAACCATCGTATTCTGCACATGGAATTGTGCAATCGGCGCATTTCCCATAGGACTACTCGCCCATTTGCTTAGAGCTCCCAAGCAGATATACAAAGCACTGGTAATTATGAGCGCAAATTGTTTTCGTATTAGCTCATTCATCTCTCGGATAGTTCAGCAGCATTAACTTCTGAAGTGGCCGTTTAAAAACAGTTACGTTTGGCCTCCACAATGATCAGTTTTTGCGATACGCACGCTTTAAGCTGACGAATGAATGCACAATACTGGTCTGATGGCCAAAGGCTACAAAAATCCTTGAGTATCTGCACTTGACTTAAATAATCATAAATCATCACATTTTATTTTTTCGTCTCTCCATTTTACAATTTTTTCATATCCCATTACCCTGCCCTCACTTTTTCACTTAACATTCCATAAATATCATTTCGGGCCGAGAAAAAATTAATTCCTCCTTAAAAAATGGTGCAGCTAGCTTCCTATATGCTCAGTTGAGACAACACGTGACGCCCGTTCACCGAGAATGTAGGCAGAGTATGGGAAAAAGAGATAAAATGAATTACTCGGATACATTTCATATGGGTGAGAGCCTGGTGTCGACAATTATCCGCAGGCAAGATAACGAGGTCGTTGTCGGCACTGAGTTCCTTAAGTGCATTGCGCTCGACCTTGGAAAGCAAAGAGGGCGCTCCTCTCCGGCCTATCGTGTCACTAAAGGGCACTCCAACCTACGGACTGGCAAAGTGGCTGTTCCAACGTCTCAAGTTTCTGACCTCCGATTCCAACACCACAGTCAGCTCGTCAACGCAATTCTTGGAGAAACTTAAAGAAGTAAGTCTCCTGCCAAGCGATATCATGGTTTCCTTTGATGTCACGTCCCTTTTTACTTCTATCCCGCAGGACCTGGCAGTCGAGACAATCGAACTACTCCTACGAGAGAAGAACGACGAAACGGAGAATCGCTCGGACACGCTCAAATCATTCAGCTCCTGAAGTTCTGTCTCAAGACGTACTTTACATTCGACGGAACAATCTACGAGCAGGTGAAGGGAACGCCAATGGGTTCGCCGATTTCGGGACTCATTGCCGAGGCGGTCCTTCAACGGCTGGAGTCGCTGGTTTTCCGACACCACAGACCGAAATTCTGGGCTCGGTATGTGGATGACACCTTCGTCGTCATCGAACGGGATCAGGTGCTGACTTTCAAAGAACAACTCAACGCCGTCTTCCCGGACATTCAATTTACGATGGAGGAGGAGGAGGAAAACAATCAGCTGGCCTTCCTGGATGTCCTCGTCTGCCGCATTGATTGTGGTGGCCTATAAACCAAAGTGTTCAGGGAAGCGACAAATACGACGCAAATACTGAACTTCAATAGCAACCACCAGATCAGTCACAAACGCAGTTGCGTAAGGGCGCTATACCGGCGTGTTAAGACGCACTGCAGTGAAGTGGAAGACAAGGTTGCTGAATTACAATATCTTCGACGGGTAATGAGAGCCAATGGCTACTCGCCCAACTTTGTCAACCAGTGCATACGAAAAGGACACCAGAGACCAAATCCAACTAGCCCCAAATTTTGGCGGGCTCTTCCGTACGTAAAGAACGTCTCGGAAGCCGTCAGTCGTCTTCTCACTCCACTCGGAGTTGGGGTTGCACACAGGCCGGAAGCAACCATTAGGCGCCAAGTAATGAGGCCAAAAGACCCACTGCCACGGCAGGAAACGTCTGGAGTCGTTTACCGGATCTGGTGTAGTTGCGGACAAAGCAATTATGTCGGAGAAACTGAGAGATTACGCCGTACGCGACTTGCCGAGCACGCAGCAGCAGCGAGGCGGGGAGACGCTAACTCTCAGGTGGCGGCACACTCGACGGGACCCGGCCATAATTTCAAATTTCAAGAGGACGAAATCCTCGCAAAGGGTGACAACCGCGTGAGCCGCGAGCTTCTCGAGTCATGGTTCTCAGGCCCGCAATCCATCAACAAACACAATGACCTCCTGGTGGCCTTTTCCGTATTGCGATTTTCCCTGGGCAGGAGAATCAATCACGTGGGGAGGGCGCGGGTGAGCAATTATCACGGTGACAGTGAGCCAGTTTGCCGAGCAATCGTCACACCAGCATCGAGCACGGTTAATTGCAGTGCGCATACGGTCCCGCGGCAGCCACGTGCTATAAATACTGCACTCCTGGTGCCACCTTCACCTCTATCTGCGAATGTCTCTGATGATGGGTTCGAGTGAGAATCCGAAACGTCAAGCAAATAAACTTCTTGTCCCAGTGATCGCATCGTCATCTTCTGAACTGCTACCTGGGACTCGCCTGTTCGCTTCTATCAGCAACCGTTTTGTTTCTATCTGTCGACGAAGGTTTCAGAGCGCAATGCTACTAGTAACTGCTGACATAATCATATAAAGTAAACGCGCTTATGTCATTAAGATATCGGCTTAGATCGGGAGATAATGAGATCGTGGGATGAAAATAGCTCAGCAGATATCCAACCTATTTACATACTTAGTTATTAAGGCATTACATCCTTTATTCTTTCCGAGTGCTCAGGCATTTACGCTTAGTGTACTAAGCGTCTGGAAAAATTGAAGAAATATACCTTCTGTGATACGGCATAAAATTCCAGAGTCCGCGAAATTTTTTTAAAGCTCGAGGTGTTGCCAGAATGATGAAACTCGGTGCCAGAAGAATCCGCTGGCATTATTATTTTAAGTACAAGCCTGGGTGTATTTGTATTTCAGAAATGCCTCGACAAGAAGGAAACTGTTTTGTGCAAGAGGGGCACAAGAATAACCATAGGCTGCGGAAACGCAGTCGCATTGATTGCCAATAATTATTAGATCAATTTTGACCTATTATTGTGACCGTTGTTTTTTTGTTTATCGATCACATACGTTCAGTATCGAGATTATTTGATGTATATCTTTGATACAGTTCACCTTTTTAAAACATTAAGCTCATATATTCTATTTGCGTTATAAAATTTCTAAACGACACAGTGAAATAGATCATTATCATAGCTGATAGTCGGACAGCCAATCAGGTCCGTTCGAATGTAGTCTATGAGTAACGTTGAAAAGAACAGTACTAACACAAACGGACACCAATGCCACGAATGCACAGAAGTCCATTCTGATGGAGACGACAAGAAAATTCGAAATAAATCCAATGACTAACGATTCTGATATGTCTGACCCGTGAATCGACTCCAGGTCAAACCGTAATTGTTATTAGATGCATGAGGTTAATAAGCAGAGCCGAAAAGGATCGTGGCGCTTCTCTGCTCATCATGGGTAGTCAATAATCTTCACCACTCCATTATCCTTTTATTCCACCTGCGACCTCCCTAAATGGTACCAGTTGGCAGTTCTCCAAGATTTGGACAGAAGGAAGGTGGCTCGGTTTGGTTGCCGTTACCTCACACTGCGGATGTGTCCGGTCTTCATTAGTGGAGGTCAAGTAAACAGCGCCACTAGGGCTCCACAGTCCCCTGATAAGACACTGTCAGAGAAAGCCTCCAACATCACCACGATGAGAACTTGGGTATCATGCAGAACGGTTGCTCATTGTTCGAATCGTCAGGCATAGTCTTACCATTACAATCTGTACATCAATATCCGCAAATGACCAGCAAGACGTCTATGTACGAGATCTTATACTTTGCGGAGATTTCATTATCTTATTTTGAGATATTTCATTTTGCACTCGATTCTTGTGGAAGAAAATTATCAGAAAATTTGATTAAAGGCGAGATTGTTAAGAGACATGTGACTACTGGTTAGTGTGAGGCACAGTGGAGCGTCTTTAAATTAAATCTGCGATGTCGCCGCTCAGTAACCCACCCATGTGTTCACGCAGTATCTCCCTCTTGCAGTTATCAATTATATAGCAGTCAATTCGCACCAATTGATCGCTAGTAGGATTGCCGTTTTCAACACGAATCACGCAGGCCAATTAAACAAAGCCTCAAGATAGACCACCTCTCACTTTTTAACAGCGTTTTACTGAAGCATGCTATGTCGGCGTGACTTAAAAAAGTTGCTTGCCTTTGTCTGTACTATTTTTCCCTCATTAGATGCACAAATGAAAAGCGAGTGGTGAAGGCCTGCTTTGATCAAAATCCACTCAGGCCCACATCTGGGACGTTGTGGGTAACACAGCCTCTATTTGCGCCTGAACATTCTGCGCTTCCTCATTTGCACCCTCTCCTTACACGTCCTGGTCACAAACCAGCCTTTTGTCAGCCTCCATCACTTTCTCCTCCTGTCTCCCCTCCTCCTGTCTCCCCTCCTCCTCCATTTCAACTACCCCAGTCGTGGTCCTATCATTCATCCTCTTTCTGTTCGTCTGACTCGTCCCCATTCTTCATCTTCTCATCCTTCTATGAGTCCTTTAATTCTTCCTCCTTCTCCATTTCGTGCTCATTTGTACCGACCTTAACCATGTCGTGTTTATAGTCAGTTAGTTTATTTAGCAAAGAGGATGCTTAAGCGTGAGTAAAGGTAGTAATATTATTTCCTACTGGGCAAACTTTCTGTACCAACGTCACAAAATTCTAACCTGGACTGAGGTTCTTAAAATATCAAATGTGTGCTCTTAGTTAGTGACCAATATTTTGCGTTTATAAAAATGCTGGATACTAGACTTTGATTTTTTTAATCGTTTTTATGATTGGAAAATGTTTAAGGCCTACTCCAGAAATATCCGTTGAAATGAAAAAATATACATATATTATTAAGTTCTAGGGATTTTTTTACTGCGGTTGTAATAATGATTTTCATGTCGCATAATTCCACGTCAAGATGCCGACCTTTAAATGAATCTCTCTTCGTCCGTCAGCAGAAACTGCACACTGAAATTAATAAGTGTATGGTTTTGTGGGAATAATTTGCAATGATTCTCGATTCCGCTAAATTTTACTGTGCTCCACATTGAAAAATGGTTAAAGTACATTTTATTCTTTAAAACAAGCAGTTTGACGTTCTGTCTCAAAGGCAAAATGCTTCCATACGAGAAAGACTGCAATAAGAGACGTGAAAAAGCACTGA